CGTTTTTCCCCGAGATCTTTTTTCTTTAATAAAATTGCTGTTTTGGCGTAAAATATTAAAAAAAAAATAAAAATTCCTGAATGGTATCGTTGAACTGGAAGAAAACACGAAAACTTAAATAGAAATAACAATGAATATATTACAAGAAATAATACAAAATGCTGCGATCAATTTTGACTGGTTTCGTGACTGCTATCATTGATTGATTCGGCATCTAGCCCCTACCACTTTACATGTGGCACAAGGCCGGGTTTAACGTGATGAAGCTCGGCCAAAAAAAGCCCGTGGAAACTCGTATAAAGGGGGTCGGGCTTAAATGCCATGAACGAAGAAGGCGGAGCTTCCGCGTTAGTTGTTAGGCAGACATTTTTAAATTCGGCTCGATTCAATACCAAATCCGTTGTAATAGTTTTAGTTATATAGAGCGATTAAGAATGCGTGTTATTTTTTCGGAAGAGTTAATTCGGCGGTCTAAACAGGCAACAGTGAATTCAAATAAAAAATCAAACCAAAAAAAAAAATAATATAATTTTTTTTTTTTTTTAATTATTGCATGAAAAAAATTTTAATATGTCAGCGAATGATTTAAACTTCAGGAAATTTTTCTTATCTTTTTGGGAATTTCCATTTTCCTTTTTTTCCGCAAAAAGAGCCCAACATGGCATTAAATTTTGGAACCAGGCCGATGCGACGAATAATTTAAAAGATTCCGGGTTGTATCCGGACCAGAAATTAAATTTTGCAAAGTTTTCGGATGAAAGCCATCAACAGCGCTATGTTAAAAACAATGAGTTTTTTATAAATCATGTTCCTAAATGGCATATGTTTAAATTAATTGCAGGTTCTCAAAATCGTATTTTCCGTTTTTCAACTTCTTTTATTATTACTCTGCGATTGTGAAATCGATTTCATTTATTTTTTGCAATGATATTTTTGGATAAATAACAATTTTTATAAGTAACGTAAATTGTGAATGATCAAAATTAATTACGAAGAGTGTAAAGAGAAAATAATTTTTGATAGAAGAGAAACCTACGTGCATAAAATTGTTTTTTTCTGGACCGAAAATTAGAGCAGTTTTAGAAGGTGAGCTTAACTATTAATGCAATTTTTAAAATAGCGACCAAATATATATATATAAGAGATAATATATATATATATATATATATATATAGTGGGAAGGTATGCTAGATTTATGGGTGAAAACTGTTATATCAAAATAGAGCAAATATAGATATATAAAAAGGACATTGAAGTATATAAGAGTAGATTTCATCATAAACGCATTTTTGTACTATTTTTATAACTTATATATAATATATTCTTTTATATTATACTTTGTTCATCAAATTATAAGAAAATTCGGATATAGAAGAAACTCCCACCTCTTGGATGGAAGAGAGATTTTCAATTACTTTTTTCCCTGAAATTAGAGCCTCCAACTGTTCAAATATAATAAAATAGAACATCTCCGGTTATAAGAGAAACCCGTATATCCTCGAGATTTTTCTGGTCTCAAATTAGCTCGCCCAAATCTTCTGCAAATGTATATAAAATGGACCAAACCTTTGGATATAATGCTTTAAAAAATAAAAAATAAAATAAAAGAATTTTCGTTGAACTTTTAAAATGTAAGCTTAAATATTAATGCAATACTTAAATGCTGCGATCAATTTTGAGTTATAAGTTTATTGTTGCCTATGCGTCTAGAGAGATTTTTGTGATGAAGACCCAAAAAGAGCCCCCTGTGTTAGCTTAAATAAAATAGACCAAGGCCAGATTTAAGATAGTTGTTATATAAGAGAAATTTTAATTAGCGTAAACGAAATTAATAGTTTTATATATATATAGCGATTAATATATATATATATTTTTATTTATTTTAAAGCGTAACAAAATAAGAAAAGGAATAAGAGAAACCCGGATATAAGATAGATTTTGTCTGGGCCCAAATTAGAGATTTTTTTAATATATATAAAATAGAACAAAACCGGATATAAGAGAAAATTGAATATAAAGAATTTTTCTGGTCCCAAATATTTCCATTTTCCTTTTATATAAAAAAGACCAAACGGATATAAGAAAAATGTGTATATGAGACTTTTTTCTCTGGTCCAAGAAAAAAAATTCCAATTAAATGTATATAAAAAAGTCAAACAGCAGATGTTGAACTAATGAGTTTTTTTATAAATAGATGTTCATAAATGGACGATCTTGTGTTATTGCAGGCATTTTAAAATAGACCTTGTTCAGATATAAGATAACTGCGTATATAAAATCATTTCATTGGTGAATAAAATTAGTGGATATATATATATATATAATATATAATATATATATATATATATATTATACAGTGTAACCGGATATAAGAAACCCGGATATAAGAGAAACCCGGATATAAGAGAGATTTTCTCTGGTCCCAAATTAGAGCCTGTGTTAATATATATAAAATAGACCAAACCCAGATATAAGAGAAACCCGTATATAAGAGAGATTT